GTGGAAATACGTTGGTTCAGGCTCTTCTGGATTTCATAGTTTGCATTGATAAGTTAGCTGTAATTATGATGGGTTTTCCATTATAAATGTCTTGTTTTTCTTTTGCTGCTTTCAGTATTCTCTCTTTGTTCTGTACATTTAGTGTTTTTACTATGATATGCCGTGGGGAGTTTCTTTTCTGGTCCTGTCTATTTGATGTTCTATGTGCTTCTTGTATTTGTACAAGGGTGTTTTTCCTTAATTTTGGGAAATTCTGTTCTACAAGCCTACTTAAAATCTAGTCAATATCATTAACCCGAAACTCTTCTCCTTCCTCTATGCCTATGATACGTAGATTTGATCCTTTCATGGTGTCCCACATTTTCTGCATATTCCATTCTCATGATTTTTTAATTTTTTATAATCTTTGCTTGAGTGGTCCAGTTCTTCAACTTTATCCTCCAGTGTTGATATTCTGTTTTCCATTTCATTCATTCTAGTGGTGAGGCTTTCCCCTGTTGTTTCAAGGTGCATTATTGAGTTTTGCACTTCCTTCTTCATTTCAGCCTGAGTTTTCTTCAATGTTTCTATCTCTTTTGTGAATTCATTCAGAAGTTTATCCCTATCTTCTTTTAGTTCTTTGATTTGTTTGTGTATTATTTAAATTTGTTGAATTCCTTGATCATGTTTATGATTCTTCTTTTAAATTCTGTGTCCTGGGTTATCTCTAGGGGCTTCTTCTTGTAGAGCTCTTCTACAGGACTGGTGGAGTTTGATGGGAACATAGTGCTTTGGCTTTCCATTTTATTGTATTTTCTTTGTGATTTTGTCATGTGAATTTCTTTGGTGTTTGTGATTCTGGTGTGAAAATCAAGTCTTCTTTTGTTGAGTTGAAGTTTGCTTCTGTTTGCATTATTTGTGTGTTTTGGTTGTTTTCACCATGTGAATGCCGGATCTAGGTGCTCTCTCTCAGGCAGACTGTTGAGTTCTTAGCCCCTACACCAGAGAACAGATCAGGCACTATCAGGCTGTCTGCTAAGGTCTCAGCCTTACCCTACCATAGGGCTTTGTTTTGTTTTTTAGAGACAAGGTCTCCCTGCAGCCCCAGTTGGCTTGCAACTTGCTTTGTAGACCAGGCTGGCCCTAATCTCACAGAGATCTGGCTGTCTCTGCCTCCTGAATGCTTGGATTAAAGGTGTGTGCCACCACACCCAGATTTGAAAACTATGCTTCTATAGAGCACCAAAAATGATTGAAAATCAGTTCTCTCCATGTTTATTTTAAATTCAATATGATAACAATAGAATTTGAAGCAAATTTTATTTACTAAAATATTTTTAGTAATATAGGTAGGAATAAGACAAGGTTACTCATTTTTAGAAATAACTAGAGTAATGGGGAGCATACAGGGGACCATCTATGCTGAACATAAAACCATTTTATAAAACCCCAGTGATTAAAGCAATGTGATACTAAACGACAGATGTTAATTTAGGTTAGTAGAAATGAAGAGAAAATACAAAAGAAGACCAACTTATATGCAACAATTTGGTCTATGATATAGGTAGTTTCTTTGAGCAGTGCTGAAAATAGACATTGGACAACTTGTGGAAATGCTTAGTAATCTTCTAGAAAAGAATAACCTTTGATCAAATTCCCTCATGCCATCTACCAGCATAAATTTGATCTAGATCAAACATGCAAATTAAACCCTACAATTTCTAAAATAAAGCATAGAGAAATTATTTGATAATCTCAAAATAGAGAAGAGCTTTTGAATTTCAAAGTCCAGAAACTATAATGTCAAAAAATTGATATACACAACTGTCTAAAAAGTAAAACTTTCTATTTAAAGAAACAAATATCAGCTCCAAAGATGTATGAAAAACCAAGTAAAAGCACAATTTATAGCACCAACAAAAGTGATTCCTTGAGCCAGGCATGGTGGTACACACCTGTAATCTCATCACTGAGGAGGCTCAGTCAGAAAGATCATCAGTTTAAAGTTAAAGCCCGGCTAAATTACATAGTGAAACTCTTTCTCAAGAAATCAAATAAATAAGGTCTGAAGAGATAGCTTAGTAAAGGCCTCACAAGGACCCAAGTTCAATCCCCAGAACCCACATAAAAGTGCCAGGTATGGTTGGCACATGCTTGTAATCCCAGCACTTGGGTGGTGGAGACAGATCCCTGGAACATGCTGACCAGGAAGCTTTGCCTCCTTGGAGATTTACAGACCAGTGAGAGACTTTGCCTCCAAACCCAAGGTGGACAGTGCCTGAAGAATGTCACTCAAGGTTGTACTCTGGTGCTAAATTGCACATGCACTCATGTGCATGCATACCCACACACACATGAATCCTCACATACATGCACATATATATATACATGTCACAAAAACTAAACAAACAAACCGAAGGAAAGAAGAATAGGAGGAGAGAAAAGTGACTCCTCATTTTAATTATCCTAGTCCACCAAGGATCAGGAATACAAAGCAAATATAGATGTAGCAAAACAAAGTTCTTTGGCTATTTTAGAAAGCAAAACAACATATGATTAGGCAATCATTTAACAGACAAACCCAGAATTCCATCCAAATAAAGAAAGCATATTAACCAAGCCAACAACTTTGAAGACCAGTTAATGGGGACACAAAGTAACCTTGTTCTTTCTCTAAATGTTAAATATTTCAAATTTAAATAACTGCGCTCTCACTGTGGTTGTGGCTTTCCTTTATCCTGGCTCTCTCACCTAGAATTATGGTGAACATGAAAAGCCCTTTGGACATACTCAAAACTTGGCTAAAATTCTACACTGCAATTTATTCTTGTGGCTGGAGCCCGATACTGACCATACATTCCCAATCCAGTGCCTTAAGGCCCTTTTTGTACTTCACATAGCCTTGGAAATCTGAGAATGTCCTGTGTGGGCCTGGACTTAGGTTTTAGCGTCCCTGTGGGCAGCAACGTCCGCAGTCTTCCCAGGGGACCCCCTAATCTTCACACTGCTGAAGCCTGGTTAAATTTCCCCAAATCATTTAGAAAACAGTCATGAATGAGGAATGAATGTTTAACTAGTCCCAAGTGGTAAAGGACCACAGGTTTCTGGCTGGGATCTGAAAAACCTTACCCCAACTAGGATTTTAAGTCCTTCCAGCTGGCAATTGAGGAAAATTCCATCAAAATGTGTTTCACCAGAATATATACATATTATTTAACTTATTATCATTTGCTATGCTTTCTTTTAGTACATTCAAATTCATTTAATGGAGAATTATACAACTCTCATCTAAATATACTTTGATTAAATTTACAATTAAACTGATACTAATTCAACATGGAAAGCTATATATTTTGCATGTATTCTGTGTATGAAAATTGCTTTTATTTGACAAAGAGACAAAGAAAAGGAAGGAAAAAGAGAAAATGAGAAAAGAAAAGCAAAAACAAGTGAAACACATATAACCAAGTGATACATTCTGCACAGAGGAGATCTTTCCATTAAACTACCTCAGTAAACTTGCTTCTGCCTCTGGCAAAACCTATTCATCAAAACTTTGGTTCACTGTTGGTTTGGAAATCAAATGTGAGTGTGTAGCTGCTTCTAGCCTAAGGTGAACAATGGATGCTCAAAGCTCAACTTCTCAGTCCTGTGATCTATAGCTAAGAGAAACTGTTGGGGAACAGCAGCAGGGATGGACGCTGTCCTTCTGAGCATCTGAGAGTATTGAACTTTCTCTCTAAATACATGCCAAAGGATTCATCCACGTTTAATCAATGATGGCTTTGAATGGATAGCTTCCGAACAAACCAGCTACAAAGAGGGTCTTGGCATTTTTGGTCTCCCAGGATGCTCACTATCATACTTGGGATACCTCCTTGATTCCCAAAGTTTCCAGAGTGTTCATGACATCCATCACTGCTTCATTTTTTTTTAGTTAATGCATGAGATTAGATGCTTTTAGGCATGGGAAGACGCAAATAACCAAAGGGAAAAGAGATTAGAAACTTCCTGGGAATGTACATTTCACGTAGGATTAAAACCTATAACTAGACAAGTAAAACTAGATCAACTCCTTATGAGATGGAATTATTTCATGAAGTGACCTGTAACTCCAACTTACAGCTTACCATACACCACACCTATTCAAAGACTTGTTCACTTCTCTACTTCGGCATTTATCTAACTGTTCATTCAATAGACATACAGAAAACGTTATCTCTATTTCAGCTTGATGCTACATTTTGAAATTCCTATTCAGTAGACAAATTCTCTTAGGTATGCTTGAAAACTCCCTAAATTGGCAAAAGACACTAAAAAGTTCAGTGACTCAGAAACAGGATAATCCCAAAGAAATCTGTCATGAAACATGATAAATATAGTTAAACTTCTAAAAACTAAGGCAAGAAGAAGAAAAAAACCATTACCTGAATAGGAACGCCAGCTTAATTTTTTTCATTTTTTAAGTTGAAATTTTGCGATTCTTATACTATATAGTTTGATAGTATTTAGAATCCCTCCCCTATCCCCACCACTCCCTATGGCGCCCAACCCAAATTATGTAATACTGCCTACAGAGTCTTATTTGTGTCCCCAGATGTCCTTCAATGTGAGTCCATCCACTGGGTCCACCAAGAGTCCCATCCCATCCCTGTAAGACACTGTCTCTCCCCCTCTAAGAAGTCATCAATTGTCAAAAGTTCTTTACGTTGGGCTGGGAATTCTTACCTACTTCCCCATGACTGTGCTGAAATTTTGCCTGGTTTGAGTTTGCATAGGATATGTGCATGCTGTCACCATTGCTGTGAATTCATGTGAGTAAATGATCATCTGTCTGGAAGACTGTTTCCTTGTGGTCATCCACCCTCTGGCTCCTACAATCTTTCTGCCTCCTCTTCCGCAATGATCCCTGAGCCTTGGGAAGCAGAGGTTTGAAATAGGTGTTACATTTGTGGATAAGCATTCTGCAGCTTCTTGTTCTCTGAAAATTGGCCAATTGTGGGATTCTGTATTAGTCACCATAAAAAATGGAAGGCTTCATGAATTTGCATGTCATCCTAGTGCAGGAACCATACCAACCTTCTCTGTATTGTTCCAATTTTTAGTATGTGTACTGCTGAAGCAAGCACAGGAATACCAACTTTAATAATAAGGGATTTCCCATTTAAAAACAGAGGCCAGAAAGAGCTGAAATGAAAAGAATTGTCAATTGTGAATTTAAATATCCAGGGAAGCAATCCTTGAGGAATGAAGAGAATACCAAAACAAGTAAAATATAGTATTCTTTCCTCATGAGTTGTATAAATGTTTGATGACTGAATAAAAATAGCATTATATGATGCTCAAGGCAATAATATTTAAAAGTCATAAAGACTGAAGGACCTGAACTGAAGTGATGGTTTCCATACTTCAAAATGGTAAAATGCTGGTACAAGTAGACTGACACAAATCACATATCAATATATTAATATTCAGAGCAATCAAATAGAGACATACATGTAAATATATTATGAATAAATACAGATAGAATTTTAAAATTTGGTTCAAAAATACATACATACAAACAAATAGGACTAAGATCCAGTACAAAAAAGAAAATAATAATAGAAAAGCAAACATAAGTAATCATTAACATGTAAGTAATTACCTTAGACAAAAATGATGAAAATATGCTTACAACCAGAAATATACCGAAAACTAGACAGGATTAAAAGAAATGCAGTCCAGCTATAGTCTACATTCAGGAAACTCACTTCAAATTCAGTGGATGTGTTGGCTGAAAGAAAAAGGATATAAAAAACTAAACTGTGCATGCATTAATGCAAAGAGGTCAATATGACTTATCCTCATTAGCTTTACTTGTCAACTTGACACAACCTATAATCATTTTACAGGAGAGCCTCAATGGAAGAATTTCCCAGGTCAGATTAGCTGGTGGCTAATCTGTAGACAGGCCCAGCCCACTGTAGGTGATACCACCCCTGGGCATGTGGTCCTGGGTTGTATAAGAAAGCTAGCTAAGCATGAGCAGCGAGCAAGCAAGTAAGCAGCATTCATTCCTCCATGGCTTCTGCTTGTGTTACTGCTCTGACTTCTCTCAATGAGGAGCTATGACTTGGAAGTGTAAGCCAAATAAACCCTTTCCTCCCCCAGTTACTTTTCGGTTTATTACAGCAACAGAAAGGAAATCAGAACACGGCTATATTAATGTTTAATAAAATGAATTGATATCAAATAAAACTTACTAAGGACAGGGTGACATCACATAATGATAAGATAAATCTATAAGGAAGATATAAACTTCCATTTGGATACCCAAAAATAGAACCTCATAAGACATGAAGGAAAAGTGATAGAGCTAAAAAGAGAAACAGTCAAACTCAAAATAACAAGAGTTTCTAGTGACTGCGTGAACAACTACATGGAAAATCAGTAAGGATGTAGAACACCATCAGCCCAACAGAACTTAATGAATATTTTATTGCTGTAAATTTCTATCTTATATTAGAAAAAGAAGGAATAGATCAAATGAATAATCTAAGCTTCTACCTCAAGAATCCAGAAAAAAGGAAAGGAAAATAATGTCAAAGCAAGCAGAAGAGAGGAAAGAATAAAGTAGAAAAATAAATGAAATTAAAAATAAAATGATACAGAAAAGCAAAAGAACTGGGTCATTGAAGTAATTACTAAGATTAAAAAACATCAGTCAAGACTCATAAAGGAAAAATTTTACCAATTACCAACATCAGTAATGAAGCATGGATCATAACTGCAGATCTTGCAAACATTAAAAGGACAGTATTGTTCTAAAGCTTACAAACAACTGTTAAAAAAATACACGTCTGTTAGTATCTGTTGTGTTTGTGTGCGTGTGTGTGTGTGTCTGTGTGTCTGTGTGATCATCTGTGTGCAGGTGTACATACGCAAAATGAGCACATTTTCAGCACACACTGTAGAGGCTGAGGAACAAGCTTGGTTGTCACCTTCAAGAACCCTATCTACCTCCTTTGAGACAGGGTCTTTCCTTGACCTGAATTACCAAGGCTAGATTGACTTGCCAGGAAGCTACACAATAATTTTCAGAACAACCTGGGCTACACAGTAAAAATCTTGTCTCAAAAAATCTGTTTAAGACTCAGAAAAAAAATCAACATATGTTCTCCCTCATATGTGGATCCTAGAACCAAACCCTGATAAGTGAGTATGTATCCAGACATAACTACAGGAACCAGGATAATGGAAAGGAAACAGGGAGGTAAAGGAAAAGAAAGAACCTGATACAGAAGAACAGTAGGAAACAGGCCTTAATAAGGGAGATATGGATAAAAATTGGGTTAGTTTAAGGGAGGGGGGAGGGAAGGGTATACAAGGAACCTAGGGGATAAAGGGAAAGAAGGAGCTCAAGAGAGGTAGGACCATAGGAGAAGGGACTAATAGTAAGGGAGAAAGGGGGGAAATAGGGGCAACTTAATTGGGGAGACCATGATGGAGGGGTGAGACAATGCGAGAGATAAATAATGCCTAGCTAGTTTTAAAAAACCGGAGGGAACCATATTACTCCAACAACCTAATGACAAATTATACATAACAGATCAAGAACTATATGTCTAGGTAAGGTTTATCTGAGAACAATTGGTCTTTGCCCAAGATTTATCTACATGACACACAGTAATTAAAAGTACCAGACTGGTGGAACTAACCTTCTTGGATGTTTAACAGACATACTTTGAGGCCTATACTAATATGGTCAGAGGGACATAAAGGACAGTTTTTGCTCCTTGCCCTCTTAGGTCGACTAGTTCCAGGGGACTATGAGAATTTCTCAAAATGTCCTGTAATTGTGGTGGGTCACCTGTTCTCTTGATCAAGGAGGCCACGGAGACCCCACCACATGGACTTGAAACTTCAGTCTCCAAGAGGAGGGTCAACACATAGGAATCATTTTCTCCATGCTTCCAAGTGAAGCCAGCCATGGTCGAGGAGGACCTTTGACTTATCTTCACATAGGTAGAACTTGGAAAAGAAAGCAGCCAGGGGCTCCTCCCAAGCCTACATGACCCCTGAGGAACAGATCCTCAAATGGACTTAAGAGTAAAGATAAATTGGTTTATCTGGGCCAACTTTATGGCCTTAAACACACAAAAGGAAAGTATAACCAAAGATTAAAGGAGCCAATATAATTTTTTAAGAGTCCATATGTATAGCTAAAGGCT